TAACCTCCATACTGGCTTTATAGGTGATTAATTAAATTTTTTTTTAAGATTTTATTTATTCATTTGAGACACAGAGATACAGAGAGGGAGAGAGAGAAAGCATGAGCAGGGAGAGAGGCAGAGGGAGAGGGAGAAGCAGGCTCCTCGCTGAGCAGGGAGCCCGATGTGGGGCTGGATCCCAGGACCCTGGGATCATGACCTGAGCCGAAGGCAGACGTTTAACCATCTGAGCCACCCAGGTCCCCCATAGGTGATTAATTAAATCTTTGCTATATGTTTCCTTTTACCAGTGAAATTTTTTCCTTTCATAATTTTCTTACTTGTAATTGTGGCCTTTTCTTTCCACTTAAAAAAGTCCCACTAACATTTCTAGTAAGGCTGGTTTAGTGGGGATGAATTGCTTTAACTCAGTTTGTCTGGGAAACTATCTCTCCTTCAATTCTGAATGATTGAGTATTCTTGGGTAGAGTATTCTTGGTCATAGGTATTTTTCTATTTAGCACTTCGAATATATCATGCTGTTTTCTTCTGGCCAGCAAAATTTCTGCTGAAAAGCCAGCTGATAGCCTTTTGGGATTTTCCCTTGTATGTCAGTTTTCTTTTCTCTTTCTGCTTTTAATATTCTCTCTCTATTATTACATTTTGCCATTTTAACTATTATGTGGACTTTTTTTTAAGATTATATTTATTTATTTGAGAGAGAGAGAGGGAGAGCATGAGCAAGGGGTGGAGGGGTAGAGGGAGAAGCAGACTCCCTACTGAGGAGGGGGCCCGATGTGGGACTCAATCCCAGGACTCCAGGATCATGACCTGAGCCGAAGGCAGATGCTTAACCTGAGCCACCCAGGCGTCCCTCCTTCTGAAGTTTTAATGTGGATTTCTTGTATACAACATATAGCTGAGTCTGGTATTTTGATCCATTCTGACAGTCTTTGTGTTTTAATTGGTGCATTTAGACCACTGACACCCGAAGTGATTATTGATACGGTTTTTATCAATATCTGTCATATTTGTTATTGTTTTCTATATCTTGCCCTTGTTCTTTGTTCCTTTTTTATCTTTCATTCACTCTTACTCTCTCTTTTGTGGTTTTGAGAATTTGATGTGATTCTGTTTTCGTTGCATTCTTAACATATCAGTTATACTTTTTTATTGGCTCCCCTAAAGTTTGCAATATACTTATACAACTAATCCAAGTTCACTTTCAAATAACTATACATCTTTGTGTACAGTGAGAGTATCTTAAAATAACAAAATAATTTTAATTCCTTCCTCCTGTCTCTTTTATTATTGCTCCCATTTATTTCACTTACACATTAGCATACATAATCGAATACATGGTTGCCATTATTATTATTATTTTTAAAGATTTTATTTATTTGACAGAGAGAGACACGAGAGAGGGAACACAAGCAGGGGCAGTGGGAGAGGGAGAAGCAGGCTTCCCTCTGAGCAGGGAGCCCGATGCGGGGCTCGATCCCAGGACCCTGGGACCATGACCTGAGCGGAAGGCAGACGCTTAACGACTGAGCCACCCAGGCGCCCCCTCCATTATTATTTGAACAAACAAAAGATCAATTAAGAATATAGATCAATTAAGAATATAAAAATATGTTTTTATTTTACCTTCACTTATTCCTTTTTTTGATACTCCTACTTTCTTTGTACAGATCCATGTTTCTGACCTATATTATTTTCCTTCTCTCTAAGAAGTTCTTCTTTTAACATTGCTTATAAGTCAGTTTCTACTGGCATCAAATTCCCTCAATTTTTGTTTTTCCAGAGAAGTCCCTATTTCTTCTTCACCTTTGATGGTTAATTTTGCAGGGTACAGAATTAGGGTGATAGTTTTTTTCTCTCAACACTTTAAATATTTCATTCCATTCTCTTCTTGTTTCTGTGGTTTTAGAGAAGTCTGATGTAATTCTTATCTTTGCTTCTCTGAGGAGGTGTTTTTCCCCCCTCTGGCTTTTTAGAATTTTTTAAAATTATTTATTTTTTAAATTTTTAAAAGTTTTTATATACATTCCAGTTAACATACCATGTAATATTAGTTTCAGGTGTACAATATAGTGATTCAACACTTCCATAGGATTTTTCTTTATCTTTGATATTCTGTAGTTTGAATATGATATGTTTAGATGTAGTTTTCTTTGGCATTTATCCTGCTTGGTGTTCTGTGAGCTTTTTGAATCTGTGGTTTGGTATCTGTATTAATTTGGAGGAAATTCTCAAATGTTATTGTTTCAGTATTTCTTGTGTTCTGTTCTCTTTTTATTCTTCTTCTGCTATTCCCATTATGCATGTTACACCTTTTGTAGCTGCTCCACATTTCTTGGATATTCTGTTCATTCCCCCCTCCTTCCCCACCTCCCACGTTCTTTTCCTCTTTTTAGTTTTGGAGGCTTCTATTGAGATACCCTCATGCTCAGATTTTTTACTCAGCTGTGTCCAGTCTAATAATGAGCTCACGAAAGACATTCTTCATTTCTGTTACAGCATTTTGATCTGATGTTTCTTTTTGGTTCTTAGAATTTCTGTCTCTCTGCTTACATAGCTCATCTCTTCTTGCATGCTGTCTACTTTGTTCATTACAGCCCTTAACATAGTAATCGTTTTAAATTTCTGGTCTGAGAATTCCAACATCCCTGCTACATCTGAGTCTGGTTCTGATGCCTGCTTTATCTCTTCAAACTGGGGGGTGGGGTGGGATGTTGTTTGTTTTTTAGTATGCTTGGTAATTTTTTCTTGTTAGCTGGATGTGATGTACTGAGTAAAAGTAACTGCTGTAATTAGACCTTTAGTAATGTGGTGGTATGGCGTGGTGAAGGGGAAGCATTCTGTAGTCCTATAATTTTGTCTCATTCTTTTAGTGAGTCTTTGCCTCTAGACTTTCAACTTAAAGTGCTTCTCAGCTCTTCTAATTATTTCCCTTAAAGTGGAACAGGATGGCTAGAGTGGGTATTTTCCCTTTCCCTAACCAGGCTCTGATAAAACCACAGCAGGTTAGGCTCTGGTTACATAGTTTTTCCTGAGGGTAGACTTTGTTAAAAAGAACAGAATGCTTTGGTATGTTTTGCCCCTCCCCTTGCCAGAAGCACAAGGGGAATTTTCTCAGATAAACCTGGTAGAGCTCCAGAAAGTAAAACTCACAAGTTTTTCCCTCCTTCCCCGCCATTGACTGGATTACCCTGGAGTTTTTATCTCTCAGATTTTCCACGCTGAGCTTCCAGCAATTCAACAATTACAGTTCAGGTTTCCCTACCCTGGGATTTGTTCCCACAGAAGTTTTGGCTCCTGGATTTTTGCTTCAGTTAAGTTGTGATCCTCTGTATTTTTCTGTATGCATAATTTTGAGAGCAGTGTCTTAGCCTGTGAAGAGTTGATTTGCAGTTTGTTCAGCTTTTTACTTGTTGTTAGGATAGAATGGTAATTTTGACCTTCTTTCATGCCAGACTGGAAACTGGAAGTCTATTTATTTTTTTAGTCTATTTTGTCTCTGTTGTTTGAGTAATTTCTATTATTCTTTCAGTTCACTGGTTTTTCTGTCCTCTCCATTCTGCTGTTGAGCCCATCCACTGAGCTTTTTATTTTATTATATTTTTCAATTATAAAATTCCATTTGGTTTTCATTTATATCTCTAATTTGTTGGGTGAAATTTTCTATTTCTTTTCTGAGGTATTCTTTTTTTCCATTTGGTTCAAACATCTTTGTACTTTCTTGTTGAAGCATCTTTGTTATGGTTTCTTTAATATTTTTGTCAGAGGGGCAAAAGGGGGCAGAGGGGCTCAATCAGTTAAGTGTCTGCCTTTAACTCAGGTCATGATCCCAGGGTCCTGGGATCAAGTCCTGCATCGGGCTCTCTGCTCAGCGGGGAGCCTGCTTCTCCCTCTCTTCCCCGCTCGTGCTCTTTTACTATCTCTGTCACTCTCAAATAAATACGTAAAATCTTTAAAAAATTAAAAAAAAAATCTTTGTCAGGTAATTGTAAGTTTTCTTTTATCTTGATATTGGCATGTATTTATTTTCTTTTTTAAAAATTAATTTTGAAGTTGAAAACAGAGCTACCCTATGACCCAGAAATTGCACCACTGGGTATTTATTCCAAAGATACAAATGTAGTGATCCAAAGGGGCACATGTACCCCAATGTTTATAGCAGCAATGTCCACAATAGCCAAACTATGGAAAGAGCCTAGATGTCCATCAACAGATGAACGGATAAAGAAGATGTGATACACACACACACGCAGGAATATTATGCAGCCATCAAAAAAATGAAATCTTGCCATTTGCAACGACGTGGATGGAACCAGGGGGTATTATGCTAAGCGAAATAAGTCAGAGAAAGACGAGTATCATATGATCTCACTGATATGAGGAATTTGAGAAACAAGACAGAGGATCATAGGGGAAGGGAGGGAAAAATGAAACGAGACGAAACTAGAGAGGGACACAAACCATAAGAGACTCTTAATCTCAGGAAACAAACTGAGGGTTGCTGGAGTGGAGGGGGGTGGGAGGGATGGGGTGGCTGGGTGATGGACACTGGGGAGGGTATGTGCTATGGTGAGTGCTGTGAATTGTGTAAGACTGTTGAATCACAGGCCTGTACCCCGGAAACAAATATTATATGTTAATAAAAAAATTTTTAAAAATTAATTTTGAGAACTTGTAATTCATGGTGTGATGGATGCTTTTCCATTGAAACCTAGATATTATTGTGTAATATCTAAGAGTCTGGATCCTCTTTAAGCCCTCTGTTTTAGCTGGCTTTTTCTGACACCACTCTGGCAAGGGAGATGGGACCCTGCCTTGTTACTGCCTGATATAGGTAGACTTGATCTCCTTCACACCTGATTGGTGGGCTCCTTGCCACTTCTGGGTGAAGATGCAAGTTCCAGTTTCCATGAGGTCTTCCTTGGTCCTGAATTTTGATAATACAACACACTTAAACTTTTTCTTTTTTATTGGACATCTGTGGCCTTCTGTCAATACAGAGAAAGATTGGAGCTGCTTTCCAAAGGCTTGGAAGTCATTTAGTTCCAACTGCTACTTTATTTCTACTATAACAAGAAATTGGACTGAGAGTGAGAGGAACTGCTCAGAAATGAAGGCTCACCCTGCTGGTGATAAACACCAAGGATGAACAGGTACTTTTTTTTTTTTTTTAAGATTTTATTTATTTATTTATGAGAGACAGAGAGACAGAGAGAGAGAGAGAGAGGCAGAGGGAGAAGCAGTCTCCCAAGGAGCAGGGAGCCCGATGCGGGACTCGATCCCAGAACCCGGGGATCATGACCTGAGCCGAAGGCAAACGCTTAACCATCTGAGCCACCCAGGTGCCCCAACAGGTACTTTCTAATAGATGATGGAGTCAGGAGTCCTGCCTAGTTGTTGTATACCTCTCTTGTCTAAGGAGTTTTTTTTTTAAAGATTTTATTTATTTATTTGACAGAGAGATAGCACAAGTAGGCAGAGCTGCAGGCAGAGGGAGAGGGAGAAGCAGACTTCCCACTGAGCAGGGAGCCCAATGCAGGGCTTGGTCCCAGGGCCCCGGGATCATGACCTGAGCTGAAGGCAGCTGCTTAACCAACTGAGCCACCCAGGTGCCCCCTGTCTAAGGAGGTTTTTCACTGTTTTGGAATATTGGTGGTATGGCAGAAGGCTTTTAGTAAAACTGATAAGAAAGGCTGCCTAAGCCTTCACATGCTACACCTTCTTCCTGTTTCCATAAAACTAATCTCTCCCAAAATAAGTTGGGGCATTTAAAGTATCATATGTGGGGTTTGAGTTGAAGAATGAAAATGTTTTAGGCTGAATATCAGTTTCTTATTTCAACCTGTAAATATTTTATAAATTATTAACTATTTCACTGAGAAACGGGTATTATAGCAATAGAGAAACAAAGTTCAATCATGAAGAGTCAGTCAACAATCAGGAATGAAGTTAAAGAATTTATGAAAGGAAAATGATTTAATCTGCAAAAAATTTTTCATGCATGACTTTGAAGAATACCACCTCTTAGTGAAAGGCGGAAGTGAATCTGAGATGAGAATTCATTATGATCCTGGATAGAAATTGCTTCCATTTGTGTTGAACATTGCTGTATTCTGGATGTTTATGTCTCCCCCAAACTTCATATGGTGAAATCCTAACCCCCAAAGATGATGGTATTTGGAGGTGGGGCCTTTGAGAAGTGCTTAGATACTGAGGGTGGAACCTTGATGAATGGGATTTGTGTTCTTATAAAAGAGACCCCACCCAGCTACTTCGCCCCTTCTACCATGTGAAGACACAGGGAGAAAAAGCTGGCCTTCACCTGACCATGCTAGTACCCCAATCTGGAATTTCCAACCTCCAGAACTGTGAGAAAGAAACTTGTTGTTTATAAGCTACCCAGTCTGTGGTATTTTGTTATAGCAGCCTGAGCAGACTGAGCCAGGCATCATGCTCACAAATGATCTCTTTGATCCTGCACTGTTCAGCCAGAGAAGACTTAGGCTTCTGGGCAGCGCCCCCGTGTCGGTCTTCCTGGATCCTTTCCTTTTCTTCTCTTCTCCCTAAGGCTGTAAAGATCTACCTGAATACTCTAAAGGCTATAACTCTTTTCTTCCTTTAGAATTTTATCTTCCAGAACCTGGATACATATTCTACTTATTACATAGGGCTGTCAAACCCAAAGGGAAAAAGAGATTGGAAATGGGTTGATCAAACATCATACAATGAAAGTGTCACGTGAGTACAGAATTAGATAAAGGAATCCTGAGCCCTGGATCATGCAGGGATTTTAGAGTGTTAAACTATCAGCTATGAAGATAAAATAGCTTACTCTTCTTTTAACTCTTGGGTTAAATAATTTTATTATCTCATTTAATCATCACAGGAACTCTCTGAAGCACACAGTATTATTTTTCCCACTGTAGAGGTGAGGAAATTGAGTTTAGAGAGTTTAGATAACTCAGCAAAGATTATCCAGCATTGGCAACAAATGATCCTCAAATCCAGCTCTGTTTGACAGCGAAGTCTGTACTTTTAATCACTACATTATATATCTCTAAATATAACAAAAATTCATGTCAATTAAGATCATGGCCAATTATTGATTTAATATTTCTCATAAAGCAAATGAGCTAACTTCTGATAGTTACAATATCTCATATTTACGTAGGTCTTTTAAAATTCTTAAATACTTCAGTGTGTTTTAGTATAATACCACCTTTGAGCCTCCTATCACTGTGTGAAACATATAGGAATATGACTCTAGTCTCTATTTTTTAGATATGGAAATCAGGGAAATTTAATTACATATCTAAGATAACTGGGATCTTAGCAGATTTAGGGGTTTTAACTAGTTCTTTGGACTCCAAAAGCAATATATATATATAAAAAAGGAAACAACTATAATGATACTTGGGACTGGGATGAAATCTTTCTTTTCCATCATTTAAGGGAGCTTATGGACTGGCAGTCCCTTGGGAACAGAACATAATGTTGGACAAATAGAAGGGCTATCTGTTAGGAGAATGTTTAATGCAATAAGATGACACAATACTGGGTGATGTAAGTTTTTGAGAGAAACGCCAGTGCTTCAGGTGGAGGAGGAACTGCATGAGAATTGGAGAAGGAATGATTTGGGCATATCTGACCTTGACTTCCACACAGTTCAGCCCTAGCCCCCTCCCTTGCCCTTTTCAAAGCACTGTTTGAAGAAACAACCTCATCCATTTTTTCCCTTTCAGATTTTGGCACTTGGGTGAACCCAGTAATCTTGATGAGGGTTGTGTTATGCTACATTTTTGTTATCTATCAAGAAAATGGGGCTGGAACAATGTTCCTTGTAATGGACGTCGCAAGTCGATTTGCAAGATGATGAAGATCTACTTATGAATGGGAACATTCTGCATGAACATGTAGTTGAATTGGTATCCACTATTACAGAGATAGCTAACTTGCTCTTTTTATTCATGTGTAAGTCTTGTGTAAGGAATCTTCATAGCATTTTTCAGTAGGCTGTCACCTATTCCATTTATGATAGAATCAGTATACATATTCATTCATTTGTGCCTTCTCCATGTGTAGAGACCATACTGGAGAGCTCTTTTGCAGACACATGGAGGAAGCATGAGTATCCTTTCCAAATTTTTGTTAGAGAAGTTAGATATTTTGCTAAGGAGTTAGATATTGATATAATTATATGATGGGGTCCCTCCATCTGTCTGGATTTTTTTTTTCATGAGGTTGGTCAAAAGCGAAATAATCCTGTTACTTTCCATTACTCTCAGACATATTTATTACCTTTAACTGAAGCATATTATGTGACAGTTGGAATATGATACACATCAATGGAAGTTAAGTTCCAGCTTTGTCCCAGTAGACTATTTGGGGTTCTTAACATTCTCTGTTCAGTCTTAGACTGTCATTTAACATAAGTGTACAGTCGAAGGGAAATCAGAAATTGAACATTAGAGATTTAGAATTAGAAGTTATTACTAGTGGGTTGACGTAGATTTATAATCCCTAGTTTTTTTCTTTGCTTCAGTTTTATAGTTTTTGTGTGTAGATTGCCACTCAGAATGGCTCCTGGTTTATTCTTGTTCCCCTTTTCACTGAAGTTCTTAGTGACCATTTTATTTCTACTACAATATATAAAACATCATATTTACAATAAAGCCTGTTATTCATTGCTTTCATATGCTAATTATAATTGATCATAATAAAGCTGATTCTAGCCATGGCTATCCCAGTGTGACCTCTTGAGATTATGCCCTGGTTATCTTGATGCAACTGAGTAATTACATTTACCACTCATTTCCTGACTGTATCTAAAAATGAGTTATTTTTATACAGTTCTGATCTTATCCATTGTATGTAGAATTTACCAGTTTATTCTTCAGAGAGCAACTTACTTACAATTCTGGAAGAATTCTAGGGAAGCCTTACTTACAAAGAGCTTTTCCCACTATTATTTCAATAATACGGGGTTGGAGTGAAGGACAAAAAGAACCACTTTACTAATGCTTTTGATTGTCAGAATAGAGGGTGTGCTTGAACTGAAGTGCAAGGGAGAATTGGTTACATTAGTTACTGCTGGGACTTTAACCTCCACCTTACATTTTATGAATGTGATTCGGATCCTGTTTTCTTTAATTTTCCATAAAGCACCACTAAATCAAGATTGTGGGTAACAGAGTTTGTGTAAGATTTGTGTTTAAGGAGTGATACTAAAATGAAGAGGCGAGCCGCGGGGGCGGGGGTGGTGGTGGTGGGAGGAGCCATTACAGGAAGGAGCCGGAGCTGCCGATTAAGCTGATCAAGATGACAACCTCCCAAAAGCACCGAGACTTTGTGGCAGAGCCCATGGGGGAAAAGCCAGTGGGGATCCTGGCCGGGATTGGTGAAGTCTTGGGCAAGAAGCTGGAGGAAAGGGGCTTTGACAAGGCCTATGTGGTCCTTGGCCAGTTTCTGGTGCTAAAGAAATATGAAGATCTCTTCCCAGAATGACTGAAGGACACATGTGGTGCCAATGCCAAGCAGTCCCCGGGACTGCGTCGAGTGCCTTCGAGAGTGGTGCGACGCCTTCTTGTGAGGCTCTCTTGGGGAGCCCCCAGTCCCTAAGCCCCAGCATTGAGTCTCCAGAGTTTGCAGCCGCATGGGGATTCCTCCCCTGTCCTCTACAAAGGAAGAGATTGCTGTTGTACTCACTTCTGATGTACTTCAAGGTCTTTTGGGAGTTCTCTCCCCTCACCATTTCAACTTTTTTGAAATTCTCGCTCTTGCATGCATCTCCTTTCTTGCCCTGCCAGTTTCGTGTCAACAATTATCAGCTTTTCCGAATGGATTCCTGGCCCTTCCTTCACCCCCTGCCCCCATTGGTCTGTTTTATGCTATTTGGCTCCTTTTTTGGCAGAATAGTCACTGTCCTTGTGAAGTTTTTTAAATCAATAAAGCCAGTGGCCTTCAAAAAAAAAAAAAAATGAAGAGGCACCTAGCTGACTTCAAATGAATGGACAGAACTGTGAAAAATAAGATTGTTGCTTTAAGCCACTAAGTTTTGGGGTGGTTTATTATTCAGCAATATATACCTGAAACACCTTTGAATTATATTAGTTTTGAATCAGATTCTGCAAAATAATGAAACATATTCAATCACATTGCTGTCTCTGAAAAGATTGACCGTTAAAAAGTGAGAATAGATTAATTTTATCATTAGTAAATAAAATGCAAAATTAAAGTGTTTATTTTTTATACAATTTCTTATTCTTGCATAGTAAGCATATTATATTACATCATAGGTGTGTGGTTCTTAAATAAATATTTGATACTAAGTGTGCATATACAATTTTTCCAATTATTTATTTATTTATTTAGAGAGTATGAGCAGGGGGAGGGGCAGAGGGAAAGGGAGAGAGAATCTCCAGCAGACTCCATGATGAGTGCACAGAGCCCAATGTGGGGCTTGATCTCATGACCCTGAGATCATGACCTGAACTGAAATCAAGAGTCAGATGCTTAACCAGCTGAGCACTCCTTTTTTTTCAAATACTAAGTATGACCAAACAAAAATTGTTTTCAGACCACTGTTCTAGAAAGTGGATTTTAAAATGTTGATTAAAGTTTAGGTAATTGTTCTCTTTGAGGTAAAAGAAAAATACAGGCTACAGACAAAAACTATTTGAAGAAAGTGTGTTTATGTTGGTTTATTAAGCAGATATATTTAAGACTATGAGTGAAATATACTTAGAATTTTAGGCCCTATATTCATCTTTATGGTTGCTATTAAAAACAAACGTATAAACAAATAAATCTACCAACACTTAAAGCCCTTTTAGTCAACCTGCCACTTAGTAAATGGAATAGGAGGCAGTAACAGTGGAATCTTTAGTACCAGGGAAAATACTTCTGCCCATTGGAGCGAAGATGATCAGCCTGGATGAGTTCTCTGAAGGTGGGAATCTGCTGACACATGACAACCCTGCAGGGTTTGTTAATTTTGTCTTGATGATAATACTGAAACATAAATTAAGTTTTGTCTTTGCCAATATAGAAATCATCCATGGTACCTACTTTGCCAAAGATGAATTCAGTGACTCAAGGATGGAAGAAATAATGTAGTAATCCAACTGTATTAAGCCAAATGTTCAGTATAAGTATTTGATTAATCACATTCTCTCTACAAAATGAAATGCTCTACATCAGTTAAAATTGTTGCAAACAAAACTATATTAATAAAGAACCAGTATTTAGTATTGTGGTACATATTGTTGGTCTATTTATACTTTCTTCCTTAGAAACAAAACTTTGATGTTATTTAGAGAGTCACTTTCTTTCATGCAGCCCAGGTACCTTGTAACCTTTCAGCTCTGTGAGTGGATACTGGTTAGTCCAAGGCAATCAAAACAGTCATCCTAGTGGTTGGTTTAGGAATAGGCACAAATTGCACATTTGCCAGTGAATCAATCACCTCTCCTTGTTCTCTGATGAATCAGGAAGCTAATCTCCCTCTCCCAAAGAATAGGAACAGAGAAGTATGTAGTCCTGCCTGCTACTGATTGTCATTCTATCACTATGAGGGGAACTAGCTTTAGGATGACAGGAACACCATGGATGGAAGAGTAGAGCAATGGAAAGAATCTGGTTTCTTACGGGTATTGTTGAGCCACTGAATCAACTATTCCTGAAGCATATTCTACTTTTTAATAATTAAAGGTAATAAATTTTCTAATTATCTAAGTCTGATTAAATCTTGACTGATATAAAACAGTATATTATTTTTAGTGACCAAACTTTATTGAGAATGCAATAGTCTAAAGGAAGAAGCTAACATTTTTAGAGCACGGTTCAGTGATTTTTGTTTGTTTTAGATTCCACTTATGAGTGGAATCATATAGTATTTGCCTTTCTCAGTCTGATATATTTCACTTAGCATAATACCTTCTAGGTTCATCCATGTTGCCTCAAATGGCATGATCTCATTTTTTATGGCTGTATAATTTTCCTCTGTGTGTGTGTGTGTGTGTGTGTGTGTGTACACACACCACATTTTCCTTGTCCATTTGCCTATTGATGGACACTTGGGCTGCTTCCATAATTTGGCTATTGTAAATAATGCTGCAATAAACATAGGGGTACAGATATCCCTTCAAATTAGTATTTTGTTTTCTTTGCTAAATACCCAGTAGTGGAATTACTGGATCATGTGGTATATCTATTTTTAATTTTTTGAGGAACTGCCCTAATTTTTTCCACAGTGTCTGTAGCAATTTACATTTCCACCAATAGTGTACAAGGGTTCCCTTTTCTCCACATCCTTGCAAACATGTTATTTCTTGTCTCTTTGATTCTAGCCATTCTGATAGGTGTAAGGTGGTATCTCATTGTGGTTTTGATTTGCATTTCACTGATGATTAGTAGTGTTGAACATCTTTTGATGTGTCTGTTGGCCAAGGGAAATTAGTTTTCAATAAAAATATATAAAAATATATAATTTTTGTTCCTGCATTTGTGAAAAAAATTCTTTAAATGGATCTGAAGTTTTCATCAGAATTTCAAATGGGTTAGTGACCTAGAAGAGTTTCATTATTTATCTGGGCTGATTTCAGTTTCCCAACATGTTAATTTCACTACTATAGTCCTCTTATAAGGGCTAAAGAAAAACAAAATCATTTAAGGTTACCCAAATAAACCGGTCCACTTCTAGTAATGGAGAACTATTTTGTTGTAGACCAACCCTTGTAACAACAACAACAACAAAAACTAGCCAGAGATAGTTGGCTTCAAAGCATTGGGGAGCTCTCATGGCACTGAAGACTTGAGGCACATAACCTGTCTGGATCCATGAACAATGATCAGCCATTCTTCCCCAAATTTCTTGGAATTAGGTAATCCCC